ATATATGTATATATTCGTTTTTTTCGATTTCTCCTTAGCATGTATGACTTTATGTGGGGTGATCCATTTCTGCTTAAATGGGAACAATTTCTCCATCTATTGGTCCTATCGTCCACTGCTGTTGACAAACTGTTTTGTTTATTCTTTTCACTGGTCTTTCACTGTGTGGTAATAGAGAGCTGTTTTCTCGATTTTTCCATTGTGATTGTTGATACTCCCTTCATATTCCTTCACCTGCTGTCCTTGCAATCATTTTGGAAATTTTAGATAAATAAAAATTGTAGCCAATTTATCCAAGTATGTTTCCAAAAGATTTTCCTAGTATCAGGATGCCTCATTGGTGTTTTCTCATCTATTGCAATCAGACTGATTTTGATTACTTTGTCCTGATCATGAAAATTCGTAGATGATGTTGCAATGATTCATAATGGTTGATAATTAGACAATTCGAATGCATTCTCAAAGTTTATTATGAGCAGATGCTGAGTGAAAAATAGAAAAAATACTATTATTGGACCTTTCTATGATTATTTGAATGGAAGTCGATGATTTTATACTCCTTTTATATCTGACATGTAGAAATATATTCACAAATGTCTTACTACGTACATGACTGAGAAATTAGCAATTGAATGGCAAGTTGTCGTTCTCGATACGATATGGTTATATCCTACCAATGATATATGTGTGATGTTTCAGTGTTACGTGACATTTAATCTTTTTTGACCGATAAAACTTAAAGAAAACATTCTGAAGTGATGTACTTGAGTACTTTTGCTTGCTGTGTATTAGAGAAAGCAGTGACTGATTGCAGAGTACTTCACTCAAACGAATCTTAGCGAAAATTGTTGATGTTTCCACATTAGATGCTTGACACACCCAATAAAACTCCTGTACAGATTCTCTGTTTTTGTGGAACTCACTATAAAAATAGTGAGTATGAGTTTCAATGCGAGTTCGAAGATTTTTCGTTTTTGCAGAGATCCCCCTGCCTTCGCCTTGCAGACATTCTTCCTGTAGAAATAATGCTGCTTGAAAGTGGGTTTTCTGACCACACTCATTGTATCGTATAATAAGATGAAAAAACAAATTCATTTAGAAAGAGTGTTGTTTTTCGTTCAATACATTAATTGTTTGATTTTCATGGTCTTTAATCTACTCTCATTTCTATTCTTTTATGTGAAATGTGATTGAAGATGAATGTTGACGTATAAGGCAAGAAGAGTGAACCTTCGCCCTATCCCACAGACTATGACAGACGTGTCGACATTATATTGCAGGTGTTTGAACTATAATACTGATATCTCGACCTTTTATTAAGATGCTGAGCAGTTTACCACTGAATTTAAAACCGGAAGTCTACTCCCGGTGAGTGTGAGCGTGGATGAAGATAAGTATCTATGTAACTTCTTTAGTTCACTGAGACTCTAACATACACATCTACCCATGTAGATGGTTATATATATTTATGTATTCATGCGGCTATAACAACAACATTAAGTACTATTCTCTTTCAAGGCTCGCCCGAGAGTAGGAGAATTAGTAGGTGTAAAGAGAATGTAGTGAAAATTTTCACAAAAACAGTACGAAATTCGATAACGTTTGACATCATTTTTCTGGATATTAACAAAGAATTTTCAATTATTCTGGACCTATACGTATTCTTCCCCACCCCTTCACTTTTGTTACTTACTGTAGAGCTTGGATTGTTTCCATGTTGATGATAAATCACTAGCGTATCAGATACAATGAACACATTTGGTCAAAAATTTTCTTCATCAAAATCAGCTGTCGGAAAGTGTCACGTTTCAATCGTTTTGAGTGAAGTTTTGAATGATTAGGTTTTTTTTTTAACTTCACTGGGATTTTAATGAGCCTAAAGTTAGGTGACGAGAAGAAGTGTAGTTCGAAGTATTCAAAAATACTTAATCATTACCATCTGTGCTGTTGAACTTGTAGAAAAAATTCTAATATTTTTAGAAAATTCCTTCAAAAGTTGTTCACTTTGTAGATGTTGAGCATTACAGAGCCGAAAAAAATAATCAATCAGCTTATTAGATAATACATGGATAACCTGAAGAACAACAATAAACAATCTAAGAAGTTATCATGAGCAAGAGTACCCAGCTCTTTCGCATCATTGCACGTGATATTCAAGATTTTACTCCCTCCATAATTATTCTTTTAAGGATTTCTCGTTTTCTGGTGTTGAGACCTATTTGTTATCATGTCACATTTTCAATTATTTTTGTTTTAAAATAATGATAATTGCCCAATTTTCAGTTATACAGTATTTTTGAACAGTTTCACACAATATACAAAGTACTCGTTATCCGTATAAAATTTAGCCTGACAATATATATTATCGACAAATAATGTAATCACGGGTGTATTGAAAATTCACAAGAGACACTCGAAAATAAAGATGATCGGCACACAGTAATTTTACTTTTCCTGCAACTAGATTCTAAGAATAAGCAATTTTTCACGTCTACTGTTATTATCTATTAAATATATATATATATAGAGAGAGAGAGGGCAAAGTTCTTGAATATTTCAGTTGCATCATGCAAAGAAATCATGTAATAAATATCTGTTTAACATGTCATCGTATTGATAGCAATGCTTGGAAGAAATCAATCATTCTCTCATGAATTTTTCGATGTGTTATCAAATTATTCAATAAATTAAGTATTCTAAACAATTCATACAATAGAAAAAATACAATAGTTAATGATTTCAGTTATGTTCTATTCTCATAATATGCTTGATGAAGTCTCCATAACGAAAGATAATTCACTGCTGGCGTAATGTAATGGAAAGTAACTGCTCTTCCGTATCCTTGTGGTCGATCGTCTAATCCCGTTAGTGAAGTATAGAATTGTGGTGGTTGACTATTAAACTCTTTTCTATCGGTCGGTCGAACTCCAGTTTTAGCGGTAATACATCGAGGAACAGTAACATCACTGTACGGATCACGTGGCGTTCGATGACATAATACTATGAATGGAGGACATTTTTCAAATAAAGCTCTAGAAAAGACATAACACGCTCCACCACAAAGTCGATCTTGGCAGACTTGACCAATCATTAGTGGCTGTTGATGATCATAATCTAATAACAACAATTCTAAGTTTGGTGGCGAAACAAATGTTTCATCATCCATTACCATAATCCATTCAACTCCTGGTCCGTCAGCCACTTTTTTTAAAATGTCAAAAACCACAGCCAAACCTCGATTGACTGGTCTCGGTGTTCTTGGTTCAACAACGTCATAAACCGGTATTCGTTTGCCCGACGACGATTCACCAACGAAAAAGAGTCGCGATGGTCCAGGCAGATGAAAATCGCCTTGTTTCCAAAGGATATAGTCTCCATCAGTCCAACAATTTGAAATATCCTTCGTATAATAACGAGCAGAAGTGTTGCATATCATACGTGGTTTTGGTGGGGGCTCAACGGTGGTGTTCAATATTATAATTGGTTCTTTTGTTGATAATTCGTGCGTACTATTGGAGCATGTAACAATAAACGGCACTAACCACAAGTTAAAGGAAGTACCAAACCAACGAAAGGCCATTATTGAGCTTGCAAATGCAATAGAAACCATTAAGCATAGTAGATAGTACTACACTTTGAATATGGATAAGACAAATAGATCAGGGTACTGAGTAGAAATATTAAAGTTTTGAGCATTCAACTATTTCTAAAATTTTTGAACAAAAACTCTTTCATCACCTGCAAGATTCTTAAAAAAGTTTTTTGTAAATTTGTATCGTACTTTTTTCAAGCAGCATAGTATAAATCATGCCTGTCACCGCTTGTTACCAACTTCACGTGGTCACATGAAATTGAATACAAAAATGTATGAAGAGAAAAAAAAATGCACATGTTTGGTATGCAACATTCATACCTTCTTACACACACTTCTAGTGATGTCACAGCCAATGATGCATACTTTTTTTTTCTGTGAGACGTTATAACGGTAATCTTGTTTATGGCTCATTAAAGTAGAGTATATTGTAAGCGTTGAATCGAAAATGAATGTAGATGCCGTGAAGAATATTTAATAGACTTGAAAAGAGAAAATGTTAAATATGGCAGCAATATATATTGTAATAGGCAAAGTTATAGCGATGGTACAGTATTAGAAATATCAAGTAATCTTATGGATATAGGCTTTTGTATAGACTTCTGCAAAATGGTCACGGTCACGGCCTCTCATGACCGTGACCAGTTTTCGAAAATTATCGTGACTGGGATCGTGACCGTGACCAAGTGTCTCGTGACCGTGACCAAATAGCTCATGATCGTGACCGAATAGCTCGTGATCGTGACTTATTGGTGATAAATTTTAATATTAAAAATCTGATTTTTCTAAACAAAAACAAGATTTTAATTGATTTACGAGTTTTCTTTGTTTTATTACAGAAGAAATCTACGAAATCAATTTAAATCTTTATTTTGTAGCACAAAAATCAAGGTAGTAATCCGAAATCCCCGTGACCGTGACGTGACTGTGACAAGTTTCGAAAATTTTCGTGACTATGAACGTGACCGTGACCAGGCAGCTCGTGACCGTGACGTGACGTGACTGAAAAATCGTGGTCACGCAGAAGTCTACTTTTGTATCAATTATATATGATGACTTTTCAATTGATATACTCTATTTGATGAGACAGTCGACTAAAAAAAACATCAGTTCTTTCAACGTGTTAGAAAATCTTAACACAAAACTCTTTGCATAAAGACGAATCACGACAATAATTTTGTGAAAAACCAAGTGAAAAGCAGTTGACTTCATGAAAGTTTCACTCCATAGAACTTAGGTACCATCGACTTGTATAGTTCAGTGCGAAATGAACGAAAAGATTAAGCTTCGTCAACATAATTTTTGCTGAATACAAATATATTCTCTCCGTTGAGTAGTACAAATCGTGAGAATCTTTTGCTTATTTAAAATATTCAACTTTATTTTTACTTCATGACACATTTCTGACAATCTGATACGTATTATACACTGTTCATCCGTCAAATATCCTATGGATACACTCTTGTGAGGTTATCTTTGCTTATTATCAATATTTACAAGAAAATATAGGCCTTTCATATTTGGATTAATCGTGTCACATACTTCTTTCAAGCCACGAAATGAATCGTTGTTTGCTTTTGAAAACGTATAATTTATGTTGCTATTGCCAGAATGACATCCATGTTGATCCATTTCCTTATCTTTCATTTCTTTATCTTGACTGATGTTTTCCTTGGCTTCCAACTCGACTTAATCATCGGACAGATTTAATTCTGTTTCAGTTTAGAAAGTTTGATTTTTTGAGTTTTTCTCAAATTAAAGTTGAAGGTGTTTGTTAACTTGGTCAATGGTAACAATATATCTTCTTGTCAAGGTTTCTGCAACATTAAATGGATCCAAAAGATCGTGTGCATCTTCGAACGTATGACCAACTTATTTCTAAACTTCTTTTTTTGGGTCATGTGCTCTGACTCAGTTACTAATGACTTGAGATTCCACAGTGTTTTATGTTGACAAGGAAAATCAAGTTTGATGATCGTTTTCGATGAATCTGAGTCTGTTTTTTTTTCATCTGTAGCAGCGAAAGCTTCTCTTTTTAACTGAGATATTGTTGAGTGCAGAAATGGATAGAGTCAACTTAAATCTACACACTCACACCCATCCACACTTGCAAAACTCATTTCATGCTGACCTGTGATTTGAATAGGCAACTAGAAAGCTCTTTCATAACAGATTTCAAATAGGTATGCTTTTCGTTTCTCGAAATCTGTTTTTACAGATAGATAATGGAGAGATTTTTTCAGAAAACTTGGCATCACTCGTTATTTCGCTTGATAAAGCTGATCCGATTTGTAGACGGCTGATTCTGGATCGTCGATTAATGAATAAAATGTTATAAATGTGGTCGTATTACAAATGTTTTATTTGTAGAACACTATACAATATATGTATATAGGATAGTGAATTACTCTTGATGTGGAAGTATTCATCGGATAATCAAGATCGAGCATTGCAAACAATCTCATAAAGACAATACATAGAAAAGCAATGTAAATTACTTATTAAAGGAAAAGAAGAAACATATACAATGTGTATAAGTAGAAAGAGACAATAAGAGAACTTACAAACAATGACAATAAATAAGAAACAAAATTGATCAATGTGAACTGCTACTTAACACGATCATTTTTGTAATGTGCCAAAAAAATTCTAATAGTTCTGTTTTAGATACTTTCATCACAATAAAACGATTAAATATTATCGCTAAAAATTATATTTCGTTGAGTGACAATAGGGTACACTGTTAATATGAACTGATTTCATCCATTCGTTAACTATTTAATAGAGTAGTAAGACACATGCATTTTTGAAGTACTCGCTTGTGTTTTGATGCACAAAATACCCAGGTGATTTAATTAAGGTTAATATTGTGCCAATCTTCTTCTGCGATTTATCTTGTCTCTAAATGTGTAATGCAATACTTAAAGCCAATAAAATTGTTATTCACAATGATGATATACACCTGTCGTGCCTTAATGATGTTTCATTGATTGAATATTGATCTTTCATTTAATCTGATATTTTTATTGTCACATATTAGTATAATATAATAAAGCTTTGTAGAAAATAAAATCTCACTTTCGAGTTTCTTTTTATTGCAAAGCTTCAATAGGCACTACTTAAGTTTTGAAGGACGAAGTTTTTAAAATTGACGTTTGTCTTATATATATAGATAGATATAATTGGGGAACAAATCTGCCTCGCTAAAAAAATGTTAAAAATTATAATTATACTATTCATTCATATCAACATTTTACTCGGTAAGTTTTGGCAAAGTATCTACTTTCTCATAGTGTTGACTTCTTTATTCTTATTCATACTAAAGCTGCAACACCCACATGGACTGGTACTTTCAATGTTGATCGAACATGTGATCGTAATAAATGTTGCTGTTTTGATGGTCAAATTGTAATAACAAGCAGAAGTCCAAGTACATTGACGTTAACTGCTGGTGTAACAGGTGCAGCTGCTTATTGTGGAATAAGTCACACGTTAACTATTCCCAAACCAACAACATTTGGTACCACGATTACGTCGGACGGTGATAAAATTCATCTTCAATTAAGCAAGGATAGTACAAGCCTATCAATTGATTATGAACAGGAGGATTTTATGAGATGTGCCGGAAATGCTGTCAGAACACAAGGATAGCAAATTTCAATATCTATATGCTTTTTTAAAAAGTTGATAATGAAAACCTTTCCATTTTGAAATTATATTTTTTTTCTATAAATGGTGGGGCTGATTACGTGGTGATATTAAACCTATTTAGCTTAATTTTCTTGGTTAACAGAACTGATAAAACACTCCAGCATGGCATTAAAACATATAAATAGATTTTAAAAAAAAAACTTTCTCGAAACTGCGAATATCAGCTATGATTCTAACATATTGATGATTTCATGAATTAGATGCCAAACGAGTCTACAGGTAATAGAGAATCATTGATTATATCAAACAGTATCGACATATTGTTGTCATGGGCGGATCAGATACATAAATTGTACAGATATCAAGTCAGATTGAATCGAACAATGAGAAAGAAAACTTTTATAGCTATTTTTTGAAGTCTTAAAGACTGAACCCTAAAATCAATTTCACATAGCCTTCATGCAACTTGTCCGGCAGAAAATTTAGTCTTCCTATGATAAAGAATAGCAATGACACAAGTACTGAACATGCAAAAGTCAAGCAAGTTCGCTAATACTCTGGCTTTGCAAGACTAATCAGCATTTTCAATGTATTCGTAGCATAGCAAATAACCTGAGAATGTTCAGAAACGTTTGTTATGTTTATGAAAATCAAAAACCATTTTTCTGTGAATTCAAAGTTAAAAAGTACATGAAATCCATAGAAAAAATGAATAGAAAAATTTGCAAAAATCTTTTTGTTTATGTTGAATTCAAAAGTATTTAATCTCAAATTTATATTTTTGTCTATGAGCTAGTGTCCTGCACAGGTACGACTTTTTGCACCCAAACCCGATCCGACAGTTTTTTTTCTACCCGAGCCCGACCCGGACCCAAAAAGCGGTACCCGGCATCCGACCGGACCCGATCCGGCCTTGAAATAATTAGCATTTAACTGATATTGTCAAAGTTACATATACTTTTCGAACTTTTATTTCATATTACAAAAGCTGTTAGCACAATCCCTTGCGGGATTAAAAATGTGAAACACGATGAATCTATTGTTACTAGTTAGATGGAAATCATTCTGTTCCATTTCTTTGCGATACAGTTGTAGCTAACCGTTTATCTAATGCTTTAGAACCACAGTTCCTCTGTCACGGTCTGTGATGGATTCCGGGCCTGTCTGCCACGGTCTGTGATGGGTTCCGGGCCTGTCTGTCACGGTCTGTGGGGGGGGGGGGGGGGGGCCAAAGTTTGGCCCCTTAACCCTCAAACCCCCCCTTCCGGATGGGGTTCCACAAACAAAAAAAAACTCACATGTGCTTTTTTTT